ATTTTTTGGGAACAAAAAAACAGACATCAAAAAAAGGCAAAAAAGGGGTTCAAGATTACCCCTCAATCACGTCACCACAACAACTACACCTCACTCGCGTGACGACACCGACTGTGAAACCTAATACTCTCCCAAAAAAATTTAAGTTTATTTTTTATCAAAAATTCTTCCCAAATTTTTTTTAATTATAAATAAAATCCAATTTATAAAAACCCCAAAGGGAAAAATAAAATTTTTTAAAAAACTGTTTTTTATGAAACTGATTCAATTTTATTCCTGTCGAATGGTTTTGTACAGCTTTCTCAACTTTTTGAAAACAATTGGATGGTTAAAATCTATCACTGATAAATAGAGGGATTAGAACTTGTTCGTTTAATGTCGTTTTTTTTTTTTTTTCGATATTGGGAGTTTTATCGTAAACTATCGCAAATTTTTACAAAGAATTAGACCCCCTCAGCATTTTGGGGGGAATTCTTTACAAAAGTTTTTTTCCCGTATCATAATTTTTAAATCAACTTGATATTAAAGCCCTTTAAAAGAAGGTAATTTAAACCCAAATTTTCATGGTAAGGGGGAACCAACAATTTTAGTTTAAAAGTTGGGTTTTCCCCCTTTTGAACGTAAAAAATTTTTTGCAATTTAAAAAATTTTTCAATTACTTTCTTTGGTATTTTAGATCATTAGCTATTTTTATAAATTTTGGATATTTTTTCATCATGAACTCTACTACAAAAACGTAAAATTTTCCCAAAAAAAATGAGGGAAAACCCACAATTTAACTAGATGTGAATAATAAATTGTACATAGGAACAGTTATTTGAGGTTTTTTGAATTTTTAAATTTTAAAAACCCTTACCCTTAATAATTTAAAACATAAAAAGACAAGGAGTTATTTCCCGCAACCAAAAACAGAAACTTTAAAAAAATGGGAATTTTTATATTATAATTAAAATATATAAAATATATTAATAATATATAATATAATTATAAATTTATAACTAATATATATATAAAAATATATAATATATAAAAAAAATAAAAACACAACCCCACACACACAGCTAACTTTTTTTTGTTTAAGGGGGTGAAAAGTTTGTTGAAAAATGACGTGTGTTTCTTTTATCCCTAGGCGGGGATCCCCCAAATCTCGAAAGAGGGGGGGAGGATTTTCCGTGCTGCAAAACATGCGTTCAATTGGGCGTTTTTTTGCAATCACTGATATCGTCACCCAGACGTGTTTGTAAGGGGAAAATTTTTCTGTGTCACTGACATACCTTTTCACAAACCTCCGCAAGGGGTTGTTTAAAAGGGTCAAAAAATTGGTTAAGGTTCTTCACTTGGTCCCCAGGGCCGGTCGTTTATGTACTGGTTGCGATGGGACTAAAATACTTCCCGGGGACGTTTTAAGGTAACTTTGGGGATTAGGAAGGATTTAAAAACTTTTAAGTGGGGTTAGTTCGGTTTGTGAATTGAGAGATGAAGGTTTCCCTTTTTTTAGTTTTTTCTATTAAAAAAGAAGGGAAAATTTTAGCTCAAAGGGCAGGTTTTTTGTATGTTAAAACTCAAGAAACTCCTGGGGTGCTCTCAAAAAAATCCATGATTCCTCATTTGGTCTTTGTAAAACCTGGCCCGGGGTAAAAAAGTGAGATCGTTTTTTTCGTAATATTCCCGAAAATGGGTTTAACCTTAAAAGGGGGTTTTTCCAATTCACGAAGAGGAAGGGCGAGAAATTTGGGAAACAAACATTGGAAAACCCCGGGGGTAAAAATTTGGGTGGCCGGCTCAACGCGGTTTGGTCTTTTTTTTTAGGTCCTTTACATTGAAATGTTTGGGATCCCAAAAAGAGGGCGTCCCTCCCCATAACCATGTGACCGTTTGGGGGGTATGATGTTAGCGAAGCAAACACTTCTAGGTGTTGCCCGGTTTGATAAAACGGGACTAAAAAAAATTCATTCCCTACCCCTAACGTTTTTTAGGGCCACTAAAGAAGGAAAAACCTCAAACTACAAATGCACGGACTACCCAAGAAAACCCCTTAACACAATATACCCCTGACCAATCAAAATCAGGTATAGGGAGTGCACCACACAAAAATCCATTTTCGCCGAACACCCTTTCCCCACCTCCTGGGAACTAAACTGCCCCGTTTACCCAAAACAAATTTAGGCGACCTCCTTTTAACCCCCAGCAGAAAACCCTGTCCCCGAAAAAAGAAAAAAATAATTTTGGACGTAAAATTTTCCCTCTTCATTAAGGGACCCATCCCCGACTCTGGGCGCAAGTCGATTAGGGCCTAAAATTTTTTCCAAACACTTCCCCTAGATTGTGTTTGGGCCTCAAGAATTAGCATTAACTTTCACCCCTGTTTTTTTTTCAACGCATCATCAATTTAAAAGTTAAGAAATAGTGTAATGAATTTGGCAAAAATTTTAAAGGAATTAGTGTTTAAAATTTTTCCCCTTTTAAAAAACACCCCAAACTCAACCCCCAAAAAGCCCAAAAAAAAAGAGAAACCCTTTAGAGAAGGAAAAACAAAAAACAAAAAATTGTAAAAAGATTAAAAGAAAAAGTTTCAAAAAAAATCCTTGCTGGTTTAAAAAAAAAAATTTTTAGCCTAAACAGTTTAAGAATAAGGACAAAAGTTGTTTAGGTTTAAGGGCACAAAGCAACATTAGGGGATCTTTATTTCGAAAAGTTTCGCCTACACAGTAGGCTTCTTCAGTCGAGTACAGCAAAGTTGATAGAAGCAGAAGACACTTGAAGTTTTGAGGTGGTCAGTCCCTCAGTCTGGAGAAGAGTATTGTTCCATTGTCTGGAATAATATGGAGTTTAAGTGATAGGATGGAGCCTTAGCGCCAGGAGGTGAGACGTAGGTCACGAGTAAGAATGCGAAACGTTTCGAAATAAAGATACCTAATTGTTGCATATGTGTCTTACCTAAACAACCTGTCTGTATTTTATACCATTTTATTGTTCAAGGACACAGTTACCTAGAGATAGTAAATAAATTCATATTAAGCTCTAAACCAATGTGGCTTGATCCTCAGTTTGCTGAGCGCCAGACAGACGCGCTTCTTGTTTATACTCGCCTAGATTAATTGCTTAGAGAGGAGTGCCAAAAGGGTACTAGAAAGGGTTACTTCAAGATAGTGATAGAACGGTGGAATGGGATTGACTAGGAGGTAACGAGTTCTAGAGCCATTATAACAAAAAATAGAGCAAACACTAAAGACACTGATCATATAAGGGCAGGTAAGGACAGGCTTTTTGTTTTCCAATGCGAAAAAACAGATACAAGAGGACATAGTTGGAAGTTAACACAAATGAACCAAAGGGATGTCATGAACTTTTTTAGTATCACTAGGAAGTGAGCGGGATAAAGCGAGTGTATTTAAGAATTCTGGAGTGGATGTTTCAGCAGATGGCTGTATTAAGAACGAAGTGATTAATATAACATACGAGGATAAGCCCGGAGTGTTAAGGTGTCTGCGGAAAGAATTAAAGCGAAAAGAAATTTACCAGAGTAGCAAACCATCCTCCGATTGCTTTTATCGTTCTAGAGAATGTATACTGGCAGAGATGGAGCCACTTGGTTTATACAGACCTAGCATTTATATCACTCTTGCAGCTACACACAAACCATCCGTAGTTTTATTTAGTTTGTTAATTATACGTAAATATACGTTAGCTAACATAGCCGAGATTAACAAATATTTTGCAGGTGCCACCGGAAGCATACAAAACTCATCAGACGAACTAATTTCAGAACTATAATGCAGGACAGGTTGAGGGTGGTGCCAACACTTCAGTATGGGTGCGAGTCATGGTCTTTGAATGCTGCAGCGAGGAGCCTTCGGGCCAGTGCATTCTAATCAAAATTAAGCGTTAAACCCACTAGGGTCATACAGCTAGAGGCAGTGCAGATATCCTAGTTAAGATCATGGTGTGGAAATCATGTAGTGAATAAGAAGTGAAGAACTGAAACATTAAAGTACGAAATGATATGATCCAGAGGGCGAAGGACTGGGAATGGCGATATGATCTGACCATTAAAATTTAGAAAGGATGGAGTAAGATCAACTGATATAAAAGGATGAATAAATGTGGGATGGAAGGGAGGCTCACAGGATGTTGCAAGAAAGGTTGGGATTAGGAAGTCCCGGAAACTTAAGTGGTGTGTGTGTCTTAAACATCTAGCAGGGATGTGTGAATGTTTTAGAGTGTGTTAGGTAAGACACATATGCAACAGTTAGGTATCTTTATTTCGAAACGTTTCGCCTACACAGGCTTCTTCAGTCGAGTACAGAAAAGTTGATAGAAGCAGAAGATACTTGAAGACGATGTAATCAGTCCATCACCCTTAAAGTTTTGAGGTGGTCAGTCCCTCAGTCTGGAGAAGAGCATTGTTCCATGGTATGAAACAATATGGAGATGAAGTGACAGGATGGAGCCTAATATAGCGCCAAGAGGTGAGACGTAGGTCACTAGGAGAGGTAAAAACTCAGATGTTGGGAGGACAGGTCCCTCTCAAATCGAGCCGTTCTCACTAGTAGAGGTTGTCTAATACACTCTAATACTTCGTATTAGAGTGTATTGGAGACAAGTGGCTTTAGGGGCTTGTCCTGTTGCTGGAGTGTGAGCAAGGTATCGTATGTAACAGAAGATTAAATTCTTGTGTCAGATAGTTTATTACTAATATTACGATCATTGGAAAGTGCTAAACTCGTTCGGGGTCATATACTACCTGGAGGACTAAGTAAGGTTGAAACCTGAGGGTTGGTAACTAATGTAGTGATACAAAAGTGCACTGTCAACATTGACGCTTAAAGACAGGTGCAGAGCGAGCTTTTATTGTGACAACATTTAGCTTTAGAGTTGTTCAAACACGTTGTGATTAAAAAAAAAAATACGCTGCACATGTCTTTTCTTCATAACTAATGTAGTGAAAGCATAGTAAGCTAAGTAGTACTGTTAAGTTATTCAGTAGTCTGGCTGCTAACCTTATGCTGGTGAATGTCGTTCTTATATTAATAGTAAAGACAGAGAAGCGTATTGAATTGCTTGGACTTGCTTCTGTGTAGCTGGTAGCACTGTTGATGAAGCTTTAAAGGGGGATTCATGCGATGGCTGGAAGGCGAGTGTGTTGGTCCGCTCACGACGATGCACCTCACAACACTGAACTTCAACCTGTGCAGCCACACCACCACCACCCAACTAGCTCACTCACTCAGACTCTCGTACCTCAGCCTAGGCTTGTTTGACCACGTTGTTGTTTATTGTTTTACGAGGTTCCAAGTGTCAAAATTTGAACATTTCCTGTGCATCTACAAATGCTGTATTCCTGAAGTCAGGTTAGATTTTATAAATCGTAAAAAGTTTATTAATGAAAAGTGATAATAAAAAAAATTACCGTGTCATGTATGGTTGGTAAATAGGGATTAAAGAATCTATTACTACACGAGGATCACTAAGGCTGCACATCACCAGTCAAGAATACTTAGTTTCTAAAATAGGGATTAAAGTAAAACTCTTAGCATATATACCGAGAGACATACACCTCTCGGTGTATATTCCCTCTTGGTCACGTATGGCAGCAAGTGGTTGAACATAACCAGGATACCCTCATATTTGCACTAGTATCAGTCGTCGTGAGGGAGTGATTTGCACACCTACACACCCTGCCTTCCACAATCTAGTATCGTAGTATTTTTCATCCAAATTAGACGCAACATTGTGAGGCTACCATGATCACTCTACATTTTACAAGGTTAGTACGAGATCTGTTTACCTAATACACCCATTACATAGAATGTTGTACCTGTCAGGATGGGGGTTCCACGCTAGCTGATAAATCTTGGATCACCATTTATCCCATCCCCCATCACGCATCATTTTAAGAGGTATGATAAAAAGCTGTTTTGCCGTTTTGGGTTTCCAGAAATTTTCTTTCACATTTTTAACACTTTGATAAATGACTTTCGTAAAGACTGATCGAAGTGGAGCGCTACGTTTAATAGTGATACAGGACATTCGTAAAAAAAAGGTTTACAAAGTGGACTCTACATGTAGGAGTCATGGGAATCTACTTAAAAATAAATGAATTGTTTTGACAAAGTAAATATTTCGACAAAAATATGTATAATATATTTAAAATTATAAATTTTTTATATAAATTTTATATATTATAATATATTATATAAAAAATATTATATTATAAAAATAAAATATTATATAAAAAATATATAATATATATAAATAATAATAAAAAAAAATAATATAATAATTTTTATTATAAAATATATATATAATATATATATATAATTTTATATATATTTTTATATATATATATAATATATAATATAATAAAATTTATAATATATAAATATATAAATTTTTTAATAAATATATATTATATGTAAAAATAATTAAATAATATCTTTTCTTTTCTTCTTTTAACATACCAGCCGTACCCACCCCGGCGGGTGGCCTAAAAAAAAAAAATTTTAAAATTTTAAATAATTATAATAAAGTCGTGCCGAATAGGGAGAACTTGCATCTTGGTTAACAAAACGCTCATTTGCCCCTATGGACAAGTGAAAATTTGTGATGTAAAAATTTTCCCCAAAAGTTGAACCCAACGAAAAAAAAAAATTTTTCACTGTGTTTTTTTAGTATTAAATTTTTTGTAAACAAATCTAAAATATATTTAGTTGGGTTAGGCTAAAATAAATTTTTTCTTTTTTTAAAAGGGTTAGTAAGTTTTCTAATTCCTTTTGGTGGGAAAAATTTTAAAAATTTTTTCATCAACAAAAACGAAAAAAAATCAAAAACCTAAAAAAGAAAATTTTGAAAGGACTTAATTTTAAAGAGTTCTTTCTAATTGACCAGTTTTACATATTCGCACGACTTTATATAAAATATAATATATATATTAATATAATATATAAAATATATATTATATATATAATAAATTTCACCAACACCTGGAAGAAGTCAGCAAAAGTGTTAGTGATTGGTACTAAAACCTGTTTCCCAAGGTGGTAATAAAGGCAGATAGGCTCCAGTATATAGAAGGAACTAAAATGGTGTTAGTGAAGGAAAATAAGCTCTAGAACGTATATGTAATTAATATTTACCAGACTGCGGCCAGCCGGGATTAGATCTTGCGACACATTCTCCCGCCTCAAGAGACAGAAAATGTTCACATCACCTTAAACACTTGACTAGTGATCATACAAGAATCATGCGCCCAGCAGAACTTTTTTTTTTTATATTTTATTTAAAACCACAGTATACATGGATGGTTTACATAGATGATTTAAAATAGAAATGCGAAAACTTTATATAAGAAGACAACATATAACTAAACAGAGGACTACCGGAACATATCTTAACCACAAAATAACTATATAACCAAAACCTGACAGTCTTATTCATTTTGTATATGAAATTTTATATATAAAAACAATTTCATATAAACTAATGCATTGCACACTCCATGGTACTATGATTATATAAAAAAAATTATATAAAAAACAATATCATATAAACTAATACATTGTGCACTCAATGGTACTATGGTTATATAAAATAACTATCAGAAACCTGCATGACTCTTGAAATTGAAACATGGTGTTCTTTATTTTTGGTTTTGCATGTATTGAAAAAGGAATCAAAACATGCAAAAATCCTTTAATAATTAACATAAGACTTTTACAGATCTAGCATGTATGATTACATATGAGGCAACACTAAGACACATAATACCCCGACCAACCCCATATTTAGTTTCTCAAACTAATTATAAACCCACAAAAAGTATACCATGCTTGTATACAGTGATATTAGTAAAGGTGCTTAATTGAACATCAACTGACTATATGCACCATAAATGATAAAAAAAAAATACATGTGATATCACTGGGTGAGGGAACAACATCCCACAAAAGCTGCTGCCTAAGGAACTTGAATGTCCATAGATTACAATATAGGACATCATACATCTCAACCCCCCCCCCCTCACAGCGGTGACCGCTACTACATATACAAAAACAATCTCAGGCAAATGAAACTTTGTGCCCTTCATCAAAAGTTTACAACCATCACCAAAAGGTCTGCTTATGAACATTCCCCTTAAAGGCCAGTATAACGTTGTACTTTTAGCGGTGACATCAGCGTGGCATCTGCTTACAAAAGACTAAACTAAACCTAACGGGAATTCCAGGAAAGACCCAACATACTTCACCAAACCCCGGCTATAGTCGGGAACCAATTCAGTCTTGTTAGAGGCTGGAACATATACTGAAATATTGCTTTTTATCTGTATTATCAAAATGCATGACCATTTTATGATTAATCCAAGATCTCAGTGCCACACAACGCCACAATCATACAAACACAGACGCACGGAACCATTCATAATACATACACGTCACTCCCTAAACCCCGCCCTCTACCCTGAAGTCTCTAACATACCGTTTGGTGCTACCACGGGGGGAGTCCAGCCCTCCAGTGCCTTACCTCACCCGCAGTTGCAGCAACATTTGAACAGTAAGACTTCGATACTTTGCAGGAAAACTATTATCCCAACTTCTACCATATGAGTTTATTTCTGCAATACGTTCTGTAGATACCTGCCGCAATTGCCCTGATCCTAACTGATTCCCCGGTTTCCCGCATACCCCACGAGATATAGAGGAAATCAGCCACCACGTACATTGTACATTATTGCTCTTCGTACCTCACTTGATACTCCGCTAACGTCCAATGTTAAGGCCCGTAAGGTTGAAATACTTCCCCTACTAAGAAAATCTAAAACCCAACCCAACCACGAACGAACTTTGTCCAAGGTATCACAAAAGTAGACAGCATGGAAAGCTGTTTCTTCGAGACCGCAACGCAAGCAATCCGCCTCCCTTACCAAACCCATCCTATGTAAGACCGATTTTGATGCTAAAATCCCCATGACAAATCTGTACACCAATTCACGAACCCTTGGTGCCAACTTAAGTTTACAAAATCCTTCCCATATTTCCCCCCAATTATACAGCGGGATATTCGCTGCCTGACCACGGTGGAGTGAGGTTGTCTCGGCACCCCTCTGCTGTCTTCAGGCGAGCTACCTTAGTTCAGCAACAACCATTGAGTAGTGAGGACGTGCGCTGTCATTGGAAAAATCAAA